CTGATTACAGTAAACACAATTTGTTGTAGTTTTCACGGTAAAAATCATTGTACTCGTAAAAGTGGAAATCTGTGGACAAGATGTTGAGATAGTTCTCAAACAAGAATTATGTTTTATTTTCCATGATATTTATGTTGCAAAGAAGTTATAGTATTAGTTTATTTCACATCTAGCTTATAATATCCATTAGCATAGTTTATGCTGGAAAAACCATAATGCACAGACCCAGATGGGAACAGTCTAAGACTCACACCAACTAAAATCCCAATTGAAGGCCATGGGAAATCAGGCTGTATGTATAATAAGATGTCTCCATGCCTAGACTAGACTGTGTTTCTTGTGTCCTAAGACATCACAGGACTTATAGAAGTTAAAGGTCATCAAGGCACATTTTGCCTCACTAGAAAAAGAGGACTGAACATTGAACAACTGCTCCCCAATTATCCATTAACAGTGTTCTAAACATCATCGAGACATTTTTAATTTGAAAACTAGGGGACCCATGCTCAAATGGTTTATTAAATAGAGTTCAAACTGGGTTTGACCTTTCAAGGATCATGTTCATATAAGAACTAGGTTAATAGAACCACTAATTTACAATAGATTCAGTTTTTTGATTGTAGATCTAGAACATAAGGAATGATTTTCCTACTTCACTCCTTATGAGTGATTACCTAACTCATTCAGGTTGCAATCATAAAGTACTTATAAACTAATTATAATTATAATTATTATTATTATCTATATAAATAAAATTAGAGTTTTGTCTGTACATTGCTCAGAATTATATATTTTTAGGTTATTTTTACGTTTTATACATTAAAGAAGCAGAAACGAGTCTTATCTCTATTTCTGTCTTTCTGTTTGTCTGTCTTTCCCTTTGTCTGTAACACTCAAGATGGCATTTTACGCAATCTTCTCCGTGAAAACCAGAGTACCTATCAAGATCCAAGTCATTTTAATGTATTCACTGGATTAGCGAGAGTGTCTTTAGTGATTAAAATATAGCCTCACTACTTTGTAAATAAAATTACGGACGTTCAAAAATGCAGTTTTGTACAATTTTTGTCAAATTTTCGTTCAATTTTTCTCACATAATCGTCCATGAAATAACGAACAGCTGTTCGGATCAAGATTATTTTTTCTAGCTGTCACTGATATGTTTACAAATGTTGTTTACAAACACCGCAACCATTTCCGATCACGTTTTGAAAGCAAATCCCAACCAAGTGAGATTAAAAACGTTTTCTTACATAACGGATTTAATTAATCGCAAGTGCAATAATATAGTGTAATAGTGTAACCGTATATGAAATTAAATAACTAGGCATCATCCGGATCAGGAACCAGAAATTATTTGTGTATAAAATTGTTCTTGAGTTTTGATAACCAGAAAAAAGACCTTGAATCAGTGTTGTTGGGGCTGGGACACTTAATGATCGTCGCCAATAGCTTACAAACAAGGTTTCCACTCATTGACGGCGCTTCAATGGCGATTGTGTAAAGTGTGTAAAGTAAAAAAATCACAACTGCAGTATTGTAAAAGAGGTTTACGGATGATGCTAAAGTCGCTTTTCCAATGTGTCACTTTCTGTTTCTACTCACTGTGTAATGCAATCGCTGGACCATACAGCAAATAGGCCCATAGCCTATCTCTTGGGTACGTACGCCTACCCATTTATTTATCTAACAACCTATTTTTGATGACGATCCTTGATACCAGTACTTTTCCATAGAATACATGGCTTACCTACTTAAGAAATAAAATTACAAATGTCCAAAAACCCAAAATTGTGTGATTTTTGTCACATTCAACTGACTACCATAAGATCCCCGTACGTAGAACGGGCACACAGCTAGTTATTAATAATAACTTAAAATTAATTTTCATAAACTGTTTTTTCTATTGCTTACAATCTAACTGTGGTTACACAATGTTAAATTAAAATTTACATTTAAAACCATCATAAAGTTGGTAAGCATCACTGGATCTTTAAAAGTGAAGTCAATAAATCAACCAAACAAATGAGAGGCTATGCTCCAAAAGAAATAACCTTTTCAGTTATCATTTGTCACTCCGCTAGATCATAAGCTTTACACTTCAATTGTAAACATCAATTAAGTATGTCGGCTAAAAAAAAGGATGTTACAGAGCATCCCTTATTGTATTAACGATATAGATTCATCTTTTCATTGTCAACAGGTTCAACTCCGTATGCCACTATGGGGGCCAGGGAGGTGATGAGGAGAGTGAGGGATGGCTACAGACTAGACAGACCATCACACTGCAGACCTGAGCTGTTCAGGGTTATATCAAGGTCAGTAACACCATTAGTAGACATAACATCTACATGGAACCAATCACACCACACTTCTGCGAGAGTTACCAAGGTGTGCTTCAAGCTTTAGTGTGACCATTAGGTTAAATAATGTTCATGTGATGTAAAGGTAATAATTAACTCTCTCTCTTCTTCCAAGAGATAGGTACAAGGTTGAGGATTCCTATACTGTCTTAGTCTATATGTCTGGTGTGCAATCATTAGAAGTTTTGTCTATGCTAGAGGCCCATCGAAAATAAACATTGGACGGCTGGGGTAGAAGTTTAGAGGATGGGTGATTTATTTGTGAATTGCTCCAAATAAGTATTATGCATTCCTTAATTTACAATGTTTCTTCAAAATGCGTAGATAATTCAGTAATTCACCTGTTATACCTTTTTCCAAATAAGTGTCTTTTACAGATTTCTAGAAATGCTTATGGGAACAATGGCAAAAAAGTGTTTTATTATGGTAACAAATTTGTTTCAATGTTTTCATGAAAACAATGTGTTAATCACAGGTGCTGGCATTCTGAGCCATCCAAGAGGCCAACTTTTGCTGAGCTCAAAGTCGAGCTTGGAGCTCTTCTCAGTGATCCTGAGCTTCACGGGAGCTTTGTTGACTTGGACAGTTTTGCTGATGAGATGAGGCGAGATACGCTTCATAGGCACCACTGAAAACTAAGCTAACTCTTTAAGTTGTTTCCATCTGATGGTTTATGAGTTATTGTTGAGTGTAGTCTAATTATTTACAGGAACAAAAAAATGTTTATTAAAAAAATTGTTTCTGGGAAACGTGTGCTGTATAAAAATGGGATGCCCAGCTTTTACTTTTAAAACCGATCACTAATTAGCAAATAAGCTTAAATTACTCTAAAACATTATAGAAATTAAATAATAATAATTATTTTCCACTTTTAGTTCCACTAGACTTTGTGATTAGAATTTGTTCAATGAAATTCATCCTATTTCATTCATATTATTTAAAAATATTAATACAATCTATTCGGTAAGTTTTCCAAAAACAATGACACCGATGAATGAACACACATAAAAGCTACAAAATCTGTAAAATAATGTAGTTTTAAAATAGTAGGTACAACAAACAATGGATTTAATCACTTTCATACAATCCTTAATTGAAAATGTTAAAAAAAAGTACAGGAATCAATGTTAATAATCATTTTCAGATGGAAACTTCTAATTAAACAACACTGTTCATTATCTTTTTGTACTGGAAGTTGTATTCTGTTTGAGTTTAAACCTTTTCTTGTTCAATTCTGTGTACGTTTAAAATATGTAAAATTGCCATCGTAAAATCATCAATACCGGTATGTCCTATGAAAAACCTTTCTTTTTAAAAATATTACAGACTCAGTTTTAACACTGAAACAAGATTTTACACCTTTAAAAAATTTACAAGTATTCTTTATATTTGAAAATTGCCATAATAATTTATGATCAATGTGAAAGTCTATGTTCAGAAAACTTGATTGTAACCGTTTACACTAAATGCATCCGAATAATCGATTCATTATTACAATTTTAGCCAAACAGATAATGGACAGTTTTGTGTTATGTACAGTATTATTATTATTTAAATTAGTTTATATACTCATTCAAACTTGTAAAAATATGTATATAATGAAAGCCATCTTAATTTTAATCACTGTTAGTTTATTAGTGGTAAATATAGTTTTATATTTATTCTTTTTCACTTTTGATGTTATTAAGTATGTACAAAATACTACTATTCTGGTAAGAAATACAAATCAAAGTTCATTTTTATTTTTAAGATATTTTACAAAATATGACAATATAACCTTACACAATAAAAAGGTGAGAATAATTATTATTCGGTTTTAATTGATTAATGAATCAAATCATTTTCAAATATACCCATTTGTAAAAACTTATGAATCTATATGGGGAAATACTCTTCTTCTAGTCTATTTTAATGTATTATTTTTACCAAAAATTGTGTTAACGATGTATTTTTAATAAGATTGTTTGTGTAGCCATTTCATACATTAACAGCTTTTGTACATAATACTATTTCGGCCAGTTGTTTTGTGTTGAAATATAAATGTATAAAGAAATGTGTTTTTCTTTTAATTTCATCACTTCCAACTTAGATATTATAAGTAAAAAAAAATTATCGTCAGTATAAAACTTTTCTTATGAAATATTTTGATGAAACATCGTTATGGTGTGCATCCCTTTGGACTGACCTACTATTGCATAAAAACCAATGGTAAGAATATAAATATTTTCTTACTATCAAAGATATTTTTATATCAATACAACATATCACCAAAATGAAAAAACAAGTGTTGTTTGTAAATTAAGGAGCTCTTGCTGCTATAGACTGAGCTCTAAGATGGTTCAAATCAAATACTTGTGCTAATAATTGGTACCCACCCTATGCAATGCTCAATAACCTGGTTGTAGCCAGTAATGATGACAGGGAATTAATAAGAATGCCAAAATCGGATGGTGAGAATAAATGGTTAAAAAGTGATGAACTTTTTTTAGTTTTTTGTTTGTCTCTAAAGTGTGCTGAAGAAGTTTTTTGTCCCTTCTTACTTTCAATACGGATTGATTAGAACTGTAAAGCACCAAGCTACAGCAAATGAACATAGTAAATAAAAGTCCTTTTGGAAAAAAGTCTTTGTACATGTACTTTGTATGTTCTTAAAAACTTTATTCGAACAGTAATAATGCATAATAACCCAATACAAACTGACCAAGTTGTCTAAAGACTATATTATGTTAGTAAAATTAAAGTAGTAGTCACAAATTTTACATTTAGGTAATTGTTTCTGAGTTAAATACCTCCCATTATACAAGGATAAGTCAATACATTTTAGTCAGACAATACAGTTTATTTTTGTAGTACCGTACGTAAATGGTTTCCTCTTGGTATTTTTATTTACAGCTATGTGTTGTATACTACCCTCTTTCCATTCAAATCAAGTATTCCAAATTTCTTGTACAGTCTATCATTCTCTAATAATTCTTGCTAAATGTGAATTTTAATTTTTTTAATTAATATATTATTTGTATTTTGTTAGAGACCCATTTAAAAAGTCATTATTTGTAAACCAATCTAATTGAGAATGCTTTTCAAAGCTTCACCTGCTGAGAATCCCTTTCTAGCTTTAGAAAAAGAACCATCTATCATCGGAGTCTCAATAAAAGGCTCCTTCAATGGCTTTTCAAATGCTTTCTTTATAAAACTGTCCGGAGACTCAAACCACCAAGGCTGAAAGTCTTGCTCATGAGAACTAGATTTTGAAGCATCATTCTTTTGATTTTCTGGCCTGGACTTATCCTCTAGTTTGTTGGTATTTTCATAGCTATGAGGTCTTAACTTGAATGAAATTTGGTCACTTAAGTCAGAGCTGCGTCCAGGTGGTGATACCGTTGTTATTGTAGGTCGAGGAATAGAGTCCAGCCCAGCAATTCTTTCTTTGAAGTAAGACGGTTTTGTAGTAGGCTTTTTCAAGGGTTCATTGTTATTCTGCCTGATTCGTGACATGGCTAGATCCACATCGGATTGTTTCAGCTGCCTTTCATGAGAATCATTTTTGTTAACATTTCCTGATGGTAGCTCATTGTTAATGGATGTTTCAGAGGTATTAGAAAACTTTTTCACTGCTGCTTCTTGGATTTTCTTCAGAAGAGATTTAAGATCAAAATTGTTTGTTTCACTTTGAGTATCATGTTGCTCATTTTTAGAATCAGTTTTGGGGTCTAACTGGTAAAAGTGTGGTTTAACCTTTAACACATTTTCATTTGGCTGGGATGTTCCTTTGTTGGAGTCGGTTTTGTCTTCTTTCAGATCCTTAAGCCAAGAAAATAGGGAATCGAAATCTGTTTTCTTCTCTGGTTGCTCTTTTGGTTTTTCTTGTTGGTTTTGGATCTTTTCATTTTCATTCTTACCAAAGACACTTGATAGAAAAGACTGGTAGTCCCATTTATTTTCCTCGTCCTGTTCTTCCTTCTTTGTCTGTTTCTTCACTGGACTTGGTAACGGTATAGGATCTGATTCTTTAACTCTACCCTCCACAATGTCACCCAAATATTGGAAGAACGCATCCCGCCTAGCAGACTGATCAGGGTTGTCAAGATCTTTGTCAACCATGTCTTGATCCAGATCAAAAGCTTTCAAACTCCTCCTCACAAGCTTTTTCAAAGCTTTTTTGCCATACTCATAAATTTCATCCTCATCAAAGTAATGTGATAAATCAATTTTCTTTTTGCGTTTCGTGATGTCCTTACCTTCTTCATCTACGGAATCTTTAAATACAGATCTTACTTGATTTAGTGCGTAGTTAATTATATCATCTTTCTCGGCTGGTGATAACGGTGACTTTTTGTAGAAGTCATCATTTTTTATTAGTTCTTTCACTGAGTTATTGATCTCTTTGATATCCTTCTGATCATTTCGCCCTTGCGCTGTAACTGACTGCCTACCCGGGTAAGTTTTCCCAGAATCACTATCATATGTATTGTCCTTGGAGTAATTATTGTTATTTTTCAGCTCTCCTCCTTGTTCTTGGTTTGACCCATGGTTCATCAGCTTGTTCCAGATAGCTTTATATGCATTGTTAACTACCCTTTTACCGTCCTGATTCTCAGTCTCTGTTAAAGGTTTGCTCTCAGGCCTCATGTTAAATGATATAGGCTTTGCATACTCTTCCGGAGACATTTCCTTGTATGGGTTGAGAGCGAAGGAAATTGATTGACTTCCTGGGAGGTGTCTTTCTCCTCTTCCACTCAGATCTACTTTCCCAAAGTCAGGATTGAATGACATGACATCATATACCAATCTTTCATCGTCTAAATTCTTTTCCAACAGTCTATGTAGTTTTCTGATGCCATATTCTATTACTTTTTCTTTTTGATTATCAGTAAGGGAGTACATTTCATTGAACTTATCGTCATGCAGTTTCTTGTTAAGTTGTTTGATCAGTTTTTGAGTTCCGTAGTTTAATATATTTTGTTTGTGTTCTTCAACCATAGCTCGTTGTTTTGCAGTCAGTTCAATGGGTTTGTTTATATTACGAATACTGTAAGCCAAATCCAACTTGTCAGGCTCTGCATCTTCTTCCACTCTCTTCAGATATTGCCCATCTTTAGTCTCGTAGGCCACAGACTTGGAGCCTTCTCTATCATGATGTTCTTTTATTGCATCTATTTTCGCTTGGGTCTCAGTGACTTGATCTCTCAGTTGTTGCATCATCTTTTCCTTTTTCGCACTTTCAGCCCACAGCTTGAGGTCACTCTCATCTAGCTTCCGCACAATCCCCGACCTAAATCATATTATTATATAATTTAGTAAAAATAATAATATAACTAAATATAATACAATTGAAGCCAAAGAATTTGCTTACAATTATATTAATTAATAAAGTTAACATTATAAAACATTTCCACAATATCAATTATTAATATTCTAAATTATATTCAGAAAAGTATAATTTATCTTGAGTTCATTGGTAAAGAATACCAATTCCTATGGAAGCTAACCTTCTTGAAAAATTAAACTACATATAAGTTAAATTTAACATTCTCTTCAGATCCAAGGCAATTTGCAATTACATGGAAAAGAATAATAATTTGGATAACAATATTTCTTTAAAACCAAAACCAAGAAGTATAAGACTTGTTACTTGTCCATCCTGTATACGGAGACTTGGCGCTGTCCAGTCTTGTGATCGGTTGTTGTGACGGTCTTGGTGACAGTTCCATCAGGGTTGAGCAGCTCGTGGTCCTCTGTGATGAGGTCTCCATCTCGTCTCACAGTACGCATCTCTTTTGGAGACTTGGCTCCCTGAAACATCAACATGTGATAATGTCTTGTGATCAGTTGTTGTGACAGTTCCATCAGGGTTGAGCAGCTCGTGGTCCTCTGTGATGAGGTCTCCATCTCGTCTCACAGTACGCATCTCTTTTGGAGACTTGGCTCCCTGAAACATCAACATGTGATAATGTCTTGTGATCAGTTGTTGTGACAGTTCCAGCAGGGTAGAGCAGCTTGTGGTCCTCTGTGATGAGGTCTCCATCTCGTCTCACAGTACGCATCTCTTTTGGAGACTTGGCTCCCTGAAACATCAACATGTGATAATGTCTTGTGATCAGTTGTTGTGACAGTTCCATCAGGGTTGAGCAGCTCGTGGTCCTCTGTGATGAGGTCTCCATCTCGTCTCACAGTACGCATCTCTTTTGGAGACTTGGCTCCCTGAAACATCAACATGTGATAATGTCTTGTGATCAGTTGTTGTGACAGTTCCAGCAGGGTTGAGCAGCTCGTGGTCCTCTGTGATGAGGTCTCCGTCTCGTCTCACAGTACGCATCTCTTTTGGAGACTTGGCTCCCTGAAACATCAACATGTGATAATGTCTTGTGATCAGTTGTTGTGACAGTTCCATCAGGGTTGAGCAGCTCGTGGTCCTCTGTGATGAGGTCTCCATCTCGTCTCACAGTACGCATCTCTTTTGGAGACTTGGCTCCCAGAAACAATTAACATGTGATAATGTCTTGTGATCAGTTGTTGTGACAGTTCCATCAGGGTTGAGCAGCTCGTGGTCCTCTGTGATGAGGTCTCCATCTCGTCTCACAGTACGCATCTCTTTCGGAGACTTGGGTCCCAGAAACAATTAACCTGCAATTAACATTAATCTGACAAAAGAATCAGCCGATCTTTACCAGTAACAAAGCTCTAATCTAATAAGTTAACTCACCATTTACTTTGGATACTAAAAAGAAACTCTATCTCAATATGTATGGAGCATAAAAAGTGGGCGTAGAGATGATATCCCTGTAAAAATGGTAATGGCGATTGCCCTGACATGCTTTGAAAGAAAAATAACTGCAGATTTTATACAAGAAATAAAAAACAAAGAATCCCCTGTTTACATGTCTTATGAGGAAAAGCGGCTGTCGCCAATGGGTAAGCAGTGACGTCATAACTAAATTTTGCCTGTACTGTACCATTGACTGGCTAACCTTCTAAACACCATTCACAATCTTGATCCCACCTTTATGGACCAGCTGTCACTATTTCTTTATTTAAAAAGAAACTTTATTAAAAAAGAACTTAATGGAGTGAGGCATCCAAAGATGGGCTTACAACCAAAAATTACATTTTTCTATATATTAGTTTTTGTTACAAAGATAGTTGATATGACAGAAAAGTTGCTATAGACAGACTATAAAGCTTTGCTATAGAAAATATGCTATTAGTCGTCCAATCAGTTGGTCTTTGGTTAAAAGGTTGGCTTGTTTGAAGAAATGAGCAATGTAGATTAGTGCATTCTGTTGGTAGTTCAATTCAACCTAGTCCATTTTGATTCAAGACTTTCAGACACCTTAAACATGGGGATAGAATGTAGAATGTATAGTTCTGTTTAAAAAAGTCCTGACAAAAAAGAGCTGATTTTTCTCAGTTACAAAGTTCTAATATCTCATCCATTCAAAATTCATCCTTGCCATAGAATGTGGACCATGATGTGACAGTGTGGGAATTTAATCTAAATTGAACCTAATGGGGGATATATCGGAATTGTAGAGTTTCTCATAAAGTAACTACAACACATTTACATGGGTTTAACCAAGAAAAAAGTTATTAGGTTTTAGAAAACTGACACCAATGATATTTTTTAGTTTTGCTATCACATATTCAACACATAACAAACTCCAGAAATATTTACTGACCCAAATGACAGAAGAGGAAGTTTTCATTCAAGTGCACACAGTTGTCTTCTATCACTTACTATTATATTGAATATTTATTTTAGAGCAGGAGAGGAAGCGGAGCGAGTGCTATCCTATTTTTTTGCTGTGGGGTTCATAGACTGTCAAAACCCAGGTTGGCCCGTGTCAGTTGACTCCCCAGAGCGTAAAAGCGATTCAGGGGAGAGGTAATAGTGGAAGGGGGTGTCGTGGGCAGGATGTAACGGAAACCGGGTACAGTTTCTTAATAGGGCAACCCTAATATAGATTGAAAATATTGATGTGATTAGTAAACTTTCATTCAAGTTTTACACAGTTTCGGTTAGGTTAGGCTATAACAGTTTCATGTTATCCCCCAAACAAGTTTTACTCATCCTGCACCCCTAGTCGATCTTTTCACCCTTATAACCGCCACACCGTAGAGTCATCAATTGAGTTGGAGACTGGAGACGCCACCTAGGTGTGTATTTTAACCCAAATATGAGAGAAGGTTGAGAGTAGAATGAAGTAATATGATCTGTGTAGTGATTGAGTTGGAGACGCCACCTAGGTGTGTATTTTAACCCAAATATGAGAGAAGGTTGAGAGTAGAATGAAGTAATATGATCTGTGTAGTGATTGAGTTGGAGACGCCACCTAGGTGTGTATTTTAACCCAAATATGAGAGAAGGTTGAGTATAGAATGAAGTGATATGATCTGTGTAGTTCTTTTACTGAAACAGATCAGCTGTTCCATTAGTCAGGATCATTTGCCTAATGATCAGGGTCAGATGGGCCCGGTTTTGAACAATAAAAAAGCTACTGACAGGATCTAACCAGCAACCTTGATTGGCAAAGGTGAGCACTATAAGCACTCAGCTACTACAAATACCACAACTTTTGACACTACTCTAAATAAATATTAAGGACATTATATTTAGTTTAGGACCAACTGTGGATACTCTACGTTAACAGATTAGTTAAAACTTAAGATCTTTAAGTTTTCTAAACAAAAACTGAAACAATCATTAAAATTGTCGCTCATAGCCTATAATTATGATACTATGATGATAACACAATCTTCAAAAATCGTTGAATACCTCAAAACAGTGTACTATAATAAGCCTAGTTAAATGAGTAACGGTAACCTATTTAAACAAAATGTATTTAAATACTTTGACAAAGTTTAGATTCATTTCGAAAAATTTATCATATTCAATGGAAATAAAAATAAAAATGAAAATTATCTTACAATATGTGTATCCATGTTTTCCGCTTATGATCAACTATCTGTACTCAACGCTCCTCTAACTAAATCTGGCTTGATGTTACAAATATGATGAAACGTAAAATTATCTTAAAACAAGCAGTAAAAAATAATGTTTACTCAGATAACTAAAGTAATGAATGCAATCCAAACAGATTCATTTGATGATAATTTCTCTTGCAAATTGTTTAACAGCAATTCAACTAGACATTCATTTGCTTTAATTGATAAGATACGTAGCTTTATAAACAACAAACGAATCTCTTATTATTTTTTTTGTTATTGGTACAAGATGTTTTAAATTCCAACTACGGTGAAAAATTATGGGCTAAGCCAGAAGGAAAATCAGCTGTTAAAACATATTCCATCGTTGTAGTTACTTATCAACCCTAACAATAAAAAAAACGTGCATAATATTATCATAGACAAAAAGAATTAAATATAGACCGTCAGCTGTGCTCCGGTTACGCACATCGCTTGGAGCGCCGTGTAGTTAGCTACGTAACAACACGGCGCTCCAAGCGGTGTGCGCCAGAACCTATGGTAACCGTAGCACGGCTGACAGTCTATATTTAATTTTTTTTTGTCTATGATATTATTAAGTTATTCATTGGTTACCATTTATTCCTGAGATGAGACGATAATCTTTTTTGGTTTAAGATGACAGTGATTATGGGTACGGTAACAATGACGTTCGCTAATCTTGGGCCCTATAATTTTGCGTGACCTATACTATTTTAATCAATAGAGTTAATAAAACGGCAGGGACTATATTAGTGTGTTCATTTAAGAAATACTAATGTCACATTTAATGTGACTAATTTAGCTTAATCTATATTTATAAAAGAGGAAGTTTGTATGTATATATATTTGAACGTTATGGACTCCGAAACCGCTCGACAGATTGTAATGAAACTTTCAGGCATTATTAAGCATTATTCAGGGATGGTTTTTGTGAAGTTTGGTGCAGATCCGTCATAAGGGCTCCGCCCCAGTGGTTCTGGAGTTTCCCATGTTAACCTTATGAGTACTTGTATTTAAATGGAATTAAAGAATCTTAACAGCTGGTTCAACTAAACAATTTGATTCTGTGATGTTCAATAGCGTTAAAAAGTTAATAGGTTTACCAACAGGGTGTAGCACAATTATTTTTTTAAATTTATGACAACATCTAACTTGCAACCATAAGGTGAGTGAGAGTAGCGAACGAACTTCAACCTCGAGGCGAGTTAGCGTAGCGAACGAGCTAAACCTAAATGCAAGTGAACGCAGCGAACGAGCTCCAACCTAAAGGTGAGTGAGCGTAGCAAACGAACTTCAACCAGGACGTGATTGAGCCATGCGAACGAGCCAATCTTGAAAATGAACGAGCATTTGACATAAAACCACATTAGGACAGGACGACGTCTGTCGGGCCAGCTAGTTGCATATATAAGTGTACATAATTTCCCTTCAAGGAATTGGCTGTTACCATTGAGTAGCGGACAATTTTTTTCGCAGAAATTTCTGCATACAATTTATTCTCTACACAGTACTCAAATAACTTGCCTTTAATCGGCGATAGTCCCCATTACAGTAGTTTCTTTTTACTTTCTCTACATATGCAAATATTATAATGTATAGAAAGTATTGTTTTCATAATGGTTTTCACACCTTTAGTCCAATTTTAACAACATTTTCTATGTAGCTACTACTCTGTAGTGTCACCAGGTGATTTTAAATTTATATGTTTAATGGTGATTTTCTCATAAAAACCCGTAAAATAAGGAAAAAATCAGATTTTTACAAAAACTAACAGAACAATTTTGATTACGATTTAGTACATTGTGGTTCTTTTGATCTCAAACAAATTAGTTCAACCCACATTGCAGCAAAGATTACGGTTCAAAAGTTATTTAAAGCTTTTTTGATTTTCCCCATTAAATATATATTTACTTTAACCACTTAACATAAGGGTTGTTGACAAGCTAATGGGAGACATTATGTGTCAACTTGCTAATAACATTTATTTTGTTGGTTTTTAAAGCAAGTGGCATCGTAGTTGAGAGCGCTTTAAGCAAAAACGATACACACCCCTTAAAGTTATATGTCGAGGATTGAACCCACGTCACCACCAATATCCGAGAGAGTAACAACTATCCTAGGAACACATCGATTTTTTTTCAAACCGAACCGCAACAGTGCTATTCTCCTGTACAATACCCATGTCTGGCCACCATGAGAGACCATACCTCGGGGCTTCTACGTATTGAGTGACAACTTATGCAACCACAAGGCTCAGTTTCATTTGGACTTTACAGGGCTCTGGACACTAAAAGATAGGTGAGTAACGACATTGTATTCTGATTTGGTTATTAAATAAGAGGTATATTTAATTTTGATGTTTTACGGTTAGTTTTATTTGCAGAGTGAAATACAGTACATAATTTCACTATATTCGTCAATAACGGTTGAGCTACCCTCTCGTAATTGGGTTTTTATTTTGTGTCCCTAGTTAAAAAACGACAAAATTAAATTATTTTAATAATGGTGTAAATTACTGGAGAGAAAGGACAATACTTAAGTTTTTAGATTCACGTTTAGCTACGTTTTTTGATAGTTTTCATTTCCTTTTGAATTATTTGTGTATATTTAGAGGGCTCGTGCATTAACTGCATGAGGCCAGGAATATTTAAGAAAAATTGATACATAAGATAACCTTATTTTATACTTTAAATTAAAATAGTTTTATAACTTATAGTTTTATAACAAATGACTCAATCTAGATATTTACTACTGATTGAAACTTGAATACTTGGGATTATAGTGGTCTATCAACCATTGATTTAGATCTTCAATTAGGTGTCGGACCTTAACAAGACTACGGAGATAAATAATCTAACAAATTCTTTGCTTATGAGCTACTTTAAAATAAAATATGTTCTAAGTCAATGGCCAAGTAGTCTTATCATAACATGCATCATAAATTATTATACGAAAATAGTATAAAGTAGATACCTTTCAATAGTAAACAAGTCTTAGAAGGAATTTGAGTTATGCAGTATATGCAACGAAATTTATCTAAGACAGATACAGATAGCACTCTGGTGTGATTTTAGTGACGGTGGACTAGCATTTATTTATTTATTTACGGTAAACACCATTTTACAATATTATTATGCGTTATTTGTATACAACGATACAATTATGAAACCCCCTCTCTGAACTAAAAATTGTAAATATAAAGAAATTGAATGAAAAAAGGTTATCCAACTTATAATATAAAACGTTATAAACTTAGTATTTTTATAATTATGAAACGTAAAATTATACTTGACTAATATACAGTAATATGTGTAATAGCATATATTATCAAATATATGATATCACTCATAATTTTTATTGCCACGCCTTGCAAACCTTGTTTTGTTGAATCGTTTTGCTTTGTATCTTTCGACTGTCAATCCTGTATTATCCAGTGTAAATTACTGATACAATCAGTTTACAAGAACTTTTCATTAGACGAAAAAAATCCTAAGCTGAACCACAACTTTACAACAATATTGTCAGCATGATAATTTTATATAGTGTTGAGTATTTAATTAACAGATTTATTTAATAGTTTACTTAACTAGCAAATGTTTTATTGTCGTTTTTAAATAGCGTAAAAATTAAAACAACAAACAGTAGAATGCCTGCGTTTTCAACTTTGCCTTGCAATGCATTGAAGTACTGCGGTTGGTATCTTGACAAGGTACGGTGTGTATTCTTAACACATTCTCGCATTGTTAACATTGAATTTGTTCATATTTTGAGTTGTTTTTGTCTCTGGATCACAGAACAAACTATAAAAGGTATAAAATTACCTGAGTACTGCCAGAATGATCCTGTTGGTCCTTACGGATAACGCGTTTCGAGGAGCTTAAGTCCTCATCATCAGATCTTGTACAAGAAACACATCTATCACTTCGAAAAGGTCGTCAAAAGTTTAAATATACAACACGGACACATAATAAATAAACACATTTTACAATTACGGGTAGGCCTACCGACAAAAAATTGCAATGTCCGACCTCGGTAGGCCTACCCGTAATTGTAAAATGTGTTTATTTATTATGTGTCCGTGTTGTATATTTAAACTTTTGACGACCTTTTCGAAGTGATAGATGTGTTTCTTGTACAAGATCTGATGATGAGGACTTAAGCTCCTCGAAACACGTAATCCATAAGGACCAACAGGATCATTCTGGCAGTACTCAGGTAATTTTATACCTTTTATAGTTGAGTTTGTTGTTGAAACATAACTGTACTTTGCCGTTTCAAACCTTTGTGCCTTTCTCTAAAAAAATAATTACTGTACTAGTGTATTTCATCACTAGTGTGTTAAGTGACTCTTTTCCACCCGAGCTCAAGTTCTGACGAAACTTATGATGAAAAAGTAAATTACATTGGGAGTACTTTGGTCTTTGGTACGGTAATATATTTGGATGGCATATGCGATTTAATATTGATGAATATAAATTTTGGTGTAAAGTCTCAATGAACGTAGTGTACAATCAAATAAATACCCAATTTTCATCCTACAAATAATCTTAAATATAACTTGTATATACTCAACTAAATTTTGAACATCCTTTCAGAACTCGCACGGTAGGTATGCACTTACTTTAACGAAACTTAAATGGACATAACAATTATATTTTTTCGTTGCAATTATGTTTCTTAACTACTACTGGCTGGGCATTACATCATGTAATCCCCATAATAGTTTATAGTTTGTTTGTTTATTACCCAACATGTAGGATCTTAGCTAAGGTGTTGACAGTGAATATGTAATCCTGTTTGTGTGTGAGAGGTCGGTCAAATACTTCGACGGCTTCTTATAGCTTCATCACAACACTTTGAAAAATATAGTCTTGTCTTAGCTACGTACTGTACTTTATGTTTTCTCTTTACAAATACAACGGTTGTAATAGTTTGTAATCGTTGTATCCATCACTGATTATAAAAGATAAGTAAATTTAATTAACGGAATCAGGCAGAATACTAATGTTATGAAGCTAAATAATTGTAGTTAAAAATCCAGAGTTAGCTCTCCTTGTTTAATATAAATAATAGTGGAAATACAAGCTAAAGTAAGCTCAGACGACCATGTCTCGGAATTATCACGGAGAAGTAACAGGAGGAGGCAAAGGACACGCCTGCTTCTAACTGGCAGAACAATTAATTGCGTGTCAATAGAATTACATTGATTCTTGTCACTGTTTGAATATTATTTGGCTTTAAACATGAATGCTTTGCAATCTTTAAATATTTTGGACAACTCACACTGTAAATCACCAGGTTCAACTTAAAAAGGATACTAGTCCGGAAAATAGGTGTTTACCATACGAGTGCGGTAAAAACATGGAGTGACGTACGATATTTTTCGCCATACCACTCTAAACTAACCTAATAGGAAAAAAACTACAAATCCGTTGGGTAATCTTATCGACTAAAGGATTTAACAATCACTCACTACTCGGAACTACTAAGTGTGGTTATGTTTTCGTTTTTTGATTGGTTGATTTGTTGCCAATTTTAATGAGCTGGTGTCCGGTAATAGTATATTACGTTACTAGTCCCGAAAATATGTGTTTATCGGACGAGTGTGGTCGTTTCCGTTCGAGACGAAGTCGAGTGCGGGATTACGATACGAGTCTGGTAAACACATTTTGGACGAGTGACGTACAATATTTTAAGCCATACTCTAAGCTAACTTACCAGCAAAAAAAAAAAATCTTTATGACTAACAATCACTACTCATAATATATTTTTGCTTATAACCACTCATTGCCAAATAAAATCAGCTGGTAGGTGTCCGGTAAAAACTCATTAAACAGTAGCACGTAATGAAACCCCATTTGATTGAGCAGGCGTCAAACAGCTGTTTTCCGGACTATCTTCATACGTTTAAAGTCTATTAAAACAGTGTAGTGTGGCGAAAAAAGTAGAACGTTAACTTATCTCATTCCCATATCCATAACAAATTACCTATATAATTATTTACATAATTTATTACCTTACAATTACGTACACCCCTCTAACAGTAGAATAGGGTTAGGAAATTTAGTCACTCATAATTTCGCATTATTTCTTACATGACCAAATCTGATGTCACCTTCTAGGTTGAGTCATGCCTAGGCCCCTCTCAACTCCTGACCCCCAGCTTCTAGAGATGACCTCCCACTGATCACTGACCATGGTAGCGTCCAACCCCCTGGTGAGCCCCGCGGGCTCTACAGGCCTGTCTGTACTCTTCTCTACTCTCTGCATCATCGATCTCTTCGGCGTCTTCCCAGTGGTGGCTCTGCCTAGAGCTATCATAGGATGTGGTTAGTGTTGAATTGTAAAGATAGTAAATGTTTGTATCGTTATTTATTGTCATTTCCTCCTGAAAGTAATACCATAGACAAATAGAATTAAATATGGACCAGTTCTGCGGTTACCATAAGTTCTGGCGTCCACCGCGATGAGTGCCGTTTGGTTACGGCGCACTCACTACTTAACTACACGGCACTCCAAGTGGTGGACGACAGAAACCGCAGCATTGCTGTCGGTCTTTATTTAATCCTATGTGTCTTTGGTAATACACACTTTGAAATTGAACTGACAGTTGTCATGACGTAAGTGGATAAAAGTGACAATTTACTCGAAGTTTATGAATCGTATGATTATAGTCTTTCATGGTACACTAACATGTTTGATTTAGGCTGCACTTTAGTTTGCATCCTACACTCGTTCGAATGAAAAATATCGATGTATAAATCTTACTAATATTATAAATGTGAAAGTTTGTGTGTTTGTTTGTTTGCTTGTTTGTTTGAAGTTCAATCACGCATAAACCACTGGACGGATTGGGCTGAAATTTGGCATGATGATAGCTTACATTCCCGATTAACATATAGGCATATTATTATCTCAAAAATCCTTTCGGGCTCCGCCCCAGTGGCTATGTAATTCCCCATGTTAACCTTATGAGTATTCATATTTAAAGGGAATTAAAGAATTTAGTCAGCTGTTTCAACTAAAAAAGTTGGTTCTATGATATGGAAAAGCATTAAAAAGTTATAAGATTTACCAACAGGGTGCAGCACTATATTTTTTTTGCATTTATGAAAACAGCTAATTTGAACTAAGCAGCAACAAAAAACTGTGATTCGCAATGAGAACTGTCAAAGTAGGATTGTTTACAGTTATGTTTATGTTTTTCATTTCATGAATAATTTGTGATATTTTGCGAATTGTTAATAATTTATTTTTCTCTATTGTTTAGGTGAAGTGGTAGAACATTATGGCTATGGTAGATGTGTAATACTATAGAATACTGTAAATTTAAAAAAGCAAATTTTATCAAACTGTGTCCTCCCTTATTGCAAACGCAAAGCTTGAGTATAACTGCAATAAGCATTTAATACTTATATTCCAACCCCGTACGAAGGACGGGTACTCTGCTAGTTATTTTATATATCAACTAGCTGACCCGGCGAACTTCGTATCGCCTAAGTTATAGGTTTCCCCTAAGACAGACCGATGGAAAGAAAGTACCGTTACGTTTAATTTTCAAGATCTCGTTCGCATCGCTCAATCACGTCCTTGTTGAAGTTCGTTCGCTACGCTCACTCACCTTTGGGTTGGAGCTCGTTCGCTACGCTCACTCACCTTTAGGTTGGAGCTCGTTCGCTGCGCTCACTTGCCTTCAGGTTAGCTCGTTCGCTACGCTCACTCGCCTCCAGGTTGAAGTTCGTTCGCTACGCTCACTCACCTTTTGGTTGCAAATTAGCTGTTGTCATAAATGTAAAATAAATAATAGTGCTGCACCCTGTTGGTAATCCTTGTAACTTTAATGCTATTGAACATTATAGAACAGAACCAACTTGTTTAATTGAAACAGCTGTTAAGATTCATTAATTCCATTTCTCATAAGGTTAACATGGGAAACTCCAGAGCCACTGGGGCGGAGCCCTTTTAAGAATTTCGAAACGGGAAATAGTTTACGTCCGATTCGCATACCTACAGAATTTACACACCAAATTTCATAACGATCGGTGAAGTCGTTCCGGAGGAGTTTGCAGACAAACACTGTGACACGAGAATTTTATATATTAGATTATTGAACCTAACTAATCAAACTTGAATAGAATGAAATAAACAAATATCGATCGAAATATTCATTCGTATGATTGTAGGACGTAAACTAATGTGCAGTCTTTATTTAAAACGTAAAAAAATATACTTGAAAACTAGGATGTACTGCTTTACTACTTTCGTTCTAAAGTTGTTTCACTTGTCCATGGCGACCCCCAATATTTCATATGAACCTCTGGTCAGAGAATACATTTTTTTATTGCAAAAGGTAATCCAAACTTTTTACTTTTGTATGTTGGAGCTCACAACACCACAAAAGACCAAATTGTTGTGTGTTTTGTCATTTTATTAGTATATTAAAACAGTAATGGTGACATTTAGTGTGGTTACTTATTGGTTGACACAACCATACATTGTTAAATACTTTAAAGCATAATTATTCCAATTCCTGCCAAAATAGTTTCGAAAACCTGTCTAAACTGTAATTTGTCAAAAACACTGTTTTTAATGTTAATAGTATGAATCTTCAAATAATTTATTCATAGCTGTCCGCAGTATATAATTGTAACACCATGTACGTTATAGGATGGCTGGGTATACCCTTGGCCCTGTGTATCTTCGGTGTGCAAGTATACACAGCGATGCTGCTGGGTCGGTGTTGGCTGATGGCAGAACAAATAAACCCGGAAATTGCTCACAAAAGTAGGTTAGTCTCCAACGTTTTATCTCTTTGTCTTTATTATCATAATGAGAATTGTGTTATAGTAAAGAAGTTAGACAGTGAAACTATGTAAGAGGTTCTCAAGCATAGAGTTTGACAAGCCTTGCAATATTATTGCCAAGAACGTCAACAAGATGAAGTAATGTACCTGGTGCTAGAATTTGAGAGGTTTCTGCATAACACATTAGAAAAGTCCATCTTACTTTGAAAGCATCATTGGAAATTGGAACTACTCGTTATAAACGTTATATTTATAAACTACTCAGTACCCAGGGAGTGAGCTAGTCTAGTGCATTCTACTGGTACAGAGCGAGACCTGAGTTTAAACCCCGCCAATCACCAATGCATTTCACCTAGAAGAATAAGAAAATATATAATAAAGCTACACAATATCTATGGTGTTTCAGATATCCATACGCAGCCATTGCAGAGATGACGTTCGGCGAAGGTGTCAGTAGAATGGTGACTTTTCTGTTAGATCTTGCAGTGTTTGGTGGAGGAATTCCCAATCTGTTGGTCGGTGAGTTCAATGCATATATATTTTGTAGAAGTTTTACAATCAAATTGCTTGACCTTTGCTTCACAATGGGACAAGGACACAGAACAGAACAATTATTCAGACTACGGTTCTTCATATTTACTGTAGGAAAAGCCTTACGAACAACACACCTCTGATAAAAAAAATAAATAAAAAATAAAATAAACAAGCCCAATTGCACAGCTTAGTTGTGTAAAATTATCTTTGTTTTGATTCAGTTATACAGTAATCAGGTCATGAATGTGCTTATGTGTGTCATTGGCCTATGCGTTGGCCGAATTCTGTTTGTTTACAATACATAATGATAGATAAGTTATTTTCTATGCCCGCTTTACGTTTACTAAAACCTTAAAAAAGAATAGTAAACCGTTCAACCCCCTCAAACCCAATAATATATTATTGTATTCCTATATCGCTTTAAATTCTCTTTCAGCCTCCCAGAACCTACAGATGCTGGGCCTAAAGGCGTCTAATTGGAACTTCGACTTCTCCTTCTGCTATTGGATGTTGCTGTTGGGGCTGGCACTGTGTCCTGTCATGTGGCTGGGTAGTCCCAAGGACATGAAGTAAGACTACCAGTCATGATTATAGTGCCTAAAAAAATATTATCGGTAAAATAGCAAATACCCTAATTTACCTACACGATGTTCTAAGTTTCTTTTGGCTCACGGGGCCCACTTGTTACTTAAGTCAACTTGAGGGGGTGCCAAACCAATAGAGATGGTGGTAGGAAATATAGGACGGTGGGTAGTTGAGTTTTACAGTGGCGTTCCCATATCAAATAATAATTGATAAAAATAATTGATAGTGCAACATTTTTTGCCTTAGACTTTTTGTCCTAGAAAAGTCATTAGATTGTGATGGTTCGAAACTTGGCCTTGCTGCCCTTGATAATTTAATATTCAAACGAATTACAGTTGTTCTTGTTCCATATTTGATATTTAACTAACAGCCACTCCTCTGTATGTGTAGTCTACTGAAACATAGTGAATGTGTTAAACGGCGGCTTTGGGTAAACATTTCAATAGTACGAAATGGAATGCAGTCAGTATGATCTAATGTATTGTGAGCTTTGCACAGATGGGTTGCTGGTACCAGTGTAGGTACGGTGCTGAGTGTATCAGTGCTGACATGGACATGTCTACTGACTGCTGAGCCAGCCTCACCTGCCGTGGTGCCTAGGCCGTCCTGGGAGGGTGTGTTCCTGGCCTATGGGATACTGGCGTTCCAGGTAATGAAACTCATAGTTAAGATGTGAGACATACAAAAATGATAATATAACAATGTTTGGTTAAATTGAATAAACTGTTTATTCTGGGTAGACGAACTGGAAGGTTGCAAAACAGCTGTTAGCACGTCACCATTATTGCGTTAGAAGTTGGGGATATCACAGCCATCATAAGATATTGATGGATTCTCTTTTCAAAATATATAGTCGGCTGTAAACATGAGCTGACTTAGTAGTAACTTCGGAACATGCTCTATATTTGAGGAAAAATAAGAATACTGCTGATCAAAGAACTTTTCAGAGAATGTAAACATACCATAGGTATGATTGTTTTCATTTAAAGATCTATCCGTTAATTCCCCCTTCGTAATTGGCAGTACCGAAAATTCCACCTAATTAGATCTACTAAATGCACCTTTTTATACACTTAATTCCACAATCTTATTAAACTATATACAGTATAAGGACCCAATACCTCGCAAGGAAAACCTAAACTGTAGACTATAACCTGTTAATTATCTCGAAGAAATCATAAAACTGCAAAACCTCTTAAAGTATCAAAGTAAACGTTATTATTCCAGATTATATTCCCATAGTTATACGGATCCAAATTACAGTTTTGATACAACGGTAACGGCACGAAGCTGCTAAGGTCACAAAGGTCAAAGGTGACCCCGCCCCAATACACTGGTCAAACAGGGAGTTTCTCTACCAACATGGTCATTTATACTCTTATCCGGGTAATTATTTAGCTTGGATGGGAAAAGTTCAACATGATGAGGTTCCTTTCAACCTTAGGTCGAGATTGATGATTTATTGACAGTAATGGTTTATAACGTTTGCAATTTGTGTCTCATTTAATCCTGTTAAGGAAATTGATTTGTTTGAAATGTTGTGCTTCGGTCTGTTTAAGTTCGACATCCACCCTGTTATCTTGACAGTACAAGTAGACATGGCTGACAAGAGGAAACTTGGACATGCAATCCTTGGAGCTTTTTCAGGTGAGCTTGAGCTTCAATTGACAGAACTGTGTTCTACACCTTTAAATATTGCAAAAGCTTTTATCAATAATAGATACTGCACTGCATAATAAATTTGATATTATGCAAATTGGCACTTATTGTGAGTATAGGAAATCTTCATTAAACATAAGTTTAACTAGTAAGCTTTACAGTTACTGTAACTGTGTTTTTACATTCCATTTCTAGGTAACGTTGGCCTGGACTTCCTCAAACATTTCCCACCTTTCATGTTCTAATGAACGACATCCTATGGGTTTTCTCAGACATTAATATCACGTTTTAATGGTTATCATCCTATGTTCTTCCTCATACTATCTTCGCTGTGTTGCCTTCTTTCCCTGTCCATAAGACCATGGAATAAGGCAACACAGTGAAGTGTTGAAATGTTTATACATTCTGATCAACATGCGACACTTTCCTCACAAGTCGCCAAGTCTTGTTTCACGTTCTGGTGGTCATTGTTTAACCCTTTGTTTCACAAACAGTAATACTTCTTTCAAATGTTGTTATAATCGACATCCTACAATGATCCTCACACACTGCAAGCCTTGTTTGCATGTTACAGTCACTGGCACGCTGTTCCTGGTGACTTGTCTTATCGCCTTCATCAGGTTTGGTGATCAGCTCCGCTACAACCTACTGCAAAGGTCTGCCTCCCAGTGGTCCTCTCCTTGCTGATGATTTGTTTGCATGTTACAGTCACTGGCACGCTGTTCCTGGTGACTTGTCTGATCGCCTTCGTCAGGTTTGGAGATCAGCTCCGCTACAACCTACTGCAATGTCTGCCTCCCAGTGGTCCTCTACTTGCTGATGATTTGTTTGCATGTTACAGTCACTGGCACGCTGTTCTGGTGACTTGTCTTATCGCCTTCGTCAGGTTTGGTGATCAGCTCCGCTACAACTTACTGCAAGGTCTGCCTCCCAGTGGTCCTCTCCTTGCTGACGAACTGCTGGTAACTCTGCAGATCTGCCTCAGCATGGTAGTCAGCGGACTGCCTTATTCCAGGATATAGAACACAGTCTGGGTGTTCCTCAGGGTTAGTCTACTGCTTATACTTGGTATATTGTTTATCATATCCATTCGTGGTCAAACTTTTAGATATTAAAGTAAATTTCGTTGGAAAACCTGTTTTAATAGCAACAAATACAGTATGTGCAAAATATGTAGGTAATTATCCTGCAGGTAATTAAAGTGGGTATCTTTAACCAAGGTTCCTGAGAGCATGAATGTTACATAACTTACGAAGTCAACAACTTCCACAGACCCAATTGGATTCACTTTGTGTTGAAAATGGCTTTGCTTTTCAGCTAGGTTAATTATTTTTTACAACATACAGAATCCTATTCTAACAGTCCATGTATTTTGCTTGTGTATTTTTTGTCATTTTGGGTTTTAAATAAGGGAGATCAAATCATCAATATAAACATAAATATTTGACAAAAAGTAATTACCATCAGCTTTTGGGTAGGGATAACGTAGTGATGATATGATCACTTGTGGGCAGAGACGTGTGGGCACTTGTGGGCAAATGTCTCAAAATACTAGTAAGTACATATCTATCAGTGGGGAGTTTATGTGGCTATTTTTATCGCAATCCATCGAGTCCGTGTAGTATCTGAGAAGTACTAGTTACACATGTATTACTATGTTTCATTATAAATACATAGTTCTACATATTTAGTGGCAGATTTCTTAACTGTAAGATTTCGCAAATTATGTTCAATAGAATAGAAAACAATTAACTACTAATCTATAATATTAAAACGAAACAGTGTTTTTTTATTTCACGATTCTGAATCAACCACTCGACGGATTTTCATGATTTTTGTGTTGAAAGAAAGATAATTTTGAGAACTAGGGAATGTCGAAGCCATAATTTTAGTTTAGAGTCCCCAGTTTTTTAGAAATTAAATTTTAATTTTTAAAAAGTCTAGCAGCCGACGCTAAGATTCTAAACTAGCTTTTGGCATAAAATAATTTGCTTAACATAACAGCTGTAAACATTCAGCTTTTGTGTCACAAATTCAGCATTTGGGATAAAAATGTAAAGACATACTTAGGGTTGACTTATTTATACTATATGTAATGCTAATCATTGATACGTTCAATTCTTCGGTAGAGGATTACAATATAATTAAATATACATAGTAAAATACTAGGATGTTCAAATTATTTTTTAAAGCAATCATTGTAATCTTCGATTTGTTTTAGAGCAATATAATTTGTTTTAAACTAACAGCTGGTTAAATATAAACTATGGAACTATGAGGTTATTTTATTTACTTTTATTTTGTCATTGATTATAGGAAATAAGTAAGATTAGTAGAGATAATTAGACTACAGTTTAAACCACAGTTTTTAACCAAAATTAATTAAACCCAAAGTACAAATCGAGGCTCTGTACACGAGCCTTAATAAAAAAGGATAAATGCAAATTATTTTACTGCTCCACTTTTCAAGGAAAGATTAAAAAAAATAACAAGTGTTTACATGTATTAATTCTTAATGGTAGCTTTATGTTTACAATTAATGTTTGTGTTTGTCTGCTTTAACTTTGTTTGGATTAGGCCCGGAAATATTTATGTCATAAAAAGAAGATCAAGAATAATCAGGAATCGCGATTTTAAATTACCACCACAACCTCGGCCGGTTTTTATACAAAGATAAACAGATGGATGACAGATTGAACACAACGTCAACATTGACCTAGGATACTGCAATTAGACAAACCATCCTTTTATGAAATCGTGTTCAGTTGTGGTTACGTTTCGTTTGGGGGTGCCTATATCAGCGCCCCCAAACATGAAAATATCACTTTTATTTCAACTATGAATATATTGTAGTTTAAATTAACTAATATGGGAAATTACGATGTACGTTTATTCATTGAGGGTGGGTAATTATCAAGGACTAGCTGTTGTACCCGTGCTTTGCAACGGGAAGAGGACACAAAATAGAAACATTTCAATTTTTATCTCTTGCATATAATAGTTACAGTTGTATCCGCCAACGCTTTTAGAAACAAAATTCAACTTTTATGGCCTTAATAGTAAGTTATGACTTTTAAATCTGGTAAGTAGTGGATACCACCATTTTGGTTTTGATTAATTTTAAATCTTGTGTAGGTTGATATGAGAAAAACTGACCAAATCTTCGAGTAAAACATACATGATTTACCAGATTTACATTCATCTCCCTTAATTACACATCTTTTAATTTATTATTGACATTTTGAAGTTGCAAAAATACTAATTATTAAATTTAAATAGATATCTTTATATTTATATTAAACTCTTCTTTATATTAAATTACAAATCCTTTCAGTTTTTTCACACACAATAAATCATTAGCAAAACTAAGTCAGCTGTTATAAACTTTAGAAATATTGCTGTGCCTTATCAATACAGTCTTTTGAAATATTAAAGAAACTATATCTATAGGTACTATAAAAAATGTCAAATAAATAATTTAGCATTAAAGACAGCAGGCAAAACTAATATGATTATCAAATCATCAAGGACTAAAAAATGAAATAGCAAATACAGTATATGTTTCATTGCATCTCTGATTCTACTATACAAAAATATCAACAAACAACTCAATATACAAACCAGTTCTTTTAATTAGTTCCATCGTCCATTGCCTTTGCATGTTCACACTTACCTTTAAGAAAACATAGTAATAGATATTTCATTGATTTTTATAAATAAAAGAACACTGTGTACTGCTTAGTTTTAGTTTTATGATATTTTCCTTGGTTTAATTTAATCAGTGGTGTGGAAAAACACAAATAATAAATGTATTCAAATAAAGTAAATGTGAACTGAAAGCTATGTTAAGATAAAATAAGAGTATTTTGTATTACCATTTGATAATTAAATATAGTTACAGATATACAACAGATTTTAGAAAACAAAAATAAACGACAATTTAGTTATTGATGATATTTTTTTAGTTTAATTTAAGCATAGGTTTAGCAAAACACAATAACTTAATTTACATAAATATACATTTAAAAAACAATGTGATGTGCAAGTTATGTTAAGTTAATCTAACACATGTGAAGCAGTTAGAATTTATTTAAAGTAGTTTCCAAATTCATACAAAACATCTATAGGCTACATTGTAATTTTCATACTGTTTCCATGAAAACATATCAATAACATTATTTTCATTTAAGATTATTAACTTAAGACGCTTAAAAAAAATCCAAAGCAGAGCCGGAGTTGTTACAGCAACGGTTATAAAATCTTTTTTTTTCTTTAATCATTGACATAGTTTAAGAATAAATAATCCATGGTAAAATGTTAGATTAAAATAAACCTACCTCATATTTATAGAAAATATTATATTTAATTTCTTTGTATCAGCTGTCTGAAATTGTGAAATATGCAGTTTAGCAGTTCTTCTTG